CTTCCGTAGATGAACAAAGTTGTTTGCGAATTCGGCTTTTAATCGATCTCATTTTAATAAAATTAACCACAGAAGCTACCTGAACCAATACTTTGTGTAATTTCTTAAGCATTTTCTTTATGAAAAGTAGTTCTCGATACAAGAGACTATGATGAAATATTATACTTCGCCCTCCCCCAAAGGGCGGGCGCTTGCCTATAACGGCATTGGCCACACCTAAGGCCAGAAGTGGTGGCCATTTTATTGTGGAGGCACCTAATAGGCGACCACCGTTACCTCCTATGAATAGATAGACAATTTTGCATCCATGCCTTCTTCGGAACTCAAACTCTGGCCCTTCGGTATCGCAGTCAAGCTCCCCAACCACTATACCCTCTAGGTGACTTATTAGAATTGGATTGACTTGGATACTGTCAAAGTCGCAAATCCTTCGACTGATCCTACCATAGATGCTGCTCTGTGAGTATAGATACCGACCCATTGATCCCATGACAGTTTTAACATATTCATATATGTATGTTGCTAACGCGTCAAATGTATCCTCACCAGTTTGCACGCTCCAGAAGTTCTTTGCTATATAAAAAATGAAATATTATCTTCTGTTCATAAATAAATTTTACAAAGTCTAAGAGATGCGCTTTGCCACATATATCAGTTAATTCTTCTACTTGTTATGCAAAGTTATGCAAAAACGTTCGTCTGCGAGTGCTTTTGCATTGCTGCAAGACACTAATTCTTTTTGGTCATCAGATACTTCAAAATTTTCTACTTTGCTTCTTCTCCAAACAAAATTGTCACTATTTCACAGCAAGTAGATAAAAGAGAGTTTCTGCTACCGTGCGTGGCTTTAATTTTAACGCTAAGAACTCAGCAATTTTATACGGCACAAGTTGAGCTCTATCAGTTATTACCTTTTATTGTTTTTCCCAACTGTCTGCTTAGTTTATCTTGGATTTAAAAAAGCCTTTTGAAGCATTCCTTTTTAATGAAATATTTTTATGTTTAGTCGAAAAAATGAGGCTTTAATTTTAGCGGGCACCATCGTGATAATGACAAATTTCTTTCCGCATAAAATGCAGAGAGAAGTTAGAAAATTTGTATATCTGGTCCAGGTAAATCAGAAATTCAAGTATTTTTCGTCTTACAAGCGATTGACAATTTGAGTTGTTTCACAATTTTTAACTGCTCTGCGCCATCTGCAAGTGCTAGCAATATTCTCATTATAAATATCAAGACGAGATTTCTTTATGATGAAATTATTCAGTCCGTGTAATAAAAAAAAATATTTATGAAAAACATAAAATTTACTGATAATATGATGCAAGACTTGCGTAAATTTATTTAATTCAAAAATTGGAATGGATACTGTTACTGAAAAGCTGAGAAACAATCCACATTCACAGCTCAGAATTCAGTTGTAAACTGCACAAACAAACCAATGTATAAGACTGTAAAATTTAAATGTACTTGTTTACCGCCAGCGAGAAGGTTCTGCTTGTTTGGTGGAAGTGTATGGTGCTGTTAACGCCAAGTTCAGAATTGACACTTTCTTACACTCCTTTCCTTAACAAACAGCTTCTTTATCGAGTACTTCCCTTCCTCGTGGAAAACGGTGATCATGTTGCACATAATTAAACCAAACAAGTCTCCTACTTGGCCAATAAAGCTACCGTCCAATCAGTCTATTACCTTCTATTAATTAGGGTCCAGCGGCCGAGCGGTAAAGTCGCTGAACACTGGTAGTTCGGTCCGAGGTTCGAATCCCGCGAACGGGCTGGCTGCATGGGCGGTTTCGTGATTTTCCCCATGTGTAACGTGTATACGAGCCAGTTTCCCTTAGAAAGTCCTCCAAGAAGGCATCCCTTCCCTTAGGCAGATAGCCCTCGAGGCTTTGCCATAATCTCACACACATACACACACTTCTATTAATTAGATTGGTGAGGCAGCAATACTGGATAGATTCAGCGCTTACATCGACACTAACAACCTCATGATTCCGCAGAAGTTTGGCTTTCGTTGAAACTTATTAAGTACTCACCAACTCTACTTTCTGAGGAGCTGCAGGAAAAGAAGTTCACCGTTGGACTTATCCTTATTAATAGTCAAAGGTTTTTGACAAGTCTGGCTGTCATGCTTCATTCACAAATTACCTACCCTGGGATAATGAACCTGTGTGCATCTCTCGAACATTTGAACTCATACCATCCCAGTGAACTATTACAGTAGTGAACTAATTTTGAAATCTAGTATTTTATAACTAAATCACTCATCTATGAATAATTATATATTTTATTATGAGTTTCGAAAGAGGTTGGGCCCCATGCTCGACTACTCTGGTAATTACACCATTCAGCCCCTGTGTGTTTCTTTATCGAGCCCTTTTATTTTTGTTTTCACATTCCCCTATATCCATTACTTTCATTCCGATGGATCAACCTGCAGCCTTCCCTCTCGGACGCCAACGAATGGACCTCTCCTTTGACAATAATAGTGACGAAATCATTTGGTAGCCTAATGTTTCTAAATCACTCCGTTTAACATACGACTTCAGTTTTCATGGCAGTTAGATGTGTATTAAGTTTTCGATACCATATATATAAAAAGCTTAATTGTCTTTACCGTTTGTTGATTACAATCCCATACAAAAATTATTTTGCATTGTACTGATTTTTCTTTAGCAAAGATTTTAAATTGTGCCTTCGATTTTTTCTCGCGGAGAACTTGAAACGGCTTTCCAGAGCACCAGTGTTCCGCAGACCACAAGTCGAGAACTGCGGAATTAGACTACCGATTATTCGAAAATTTCCGCAGATTTATATGCTATAATGAAACAGAGTGGTACTCAGGGACGTCATAATGGTAACACAGGTGAATCAAATACCACTGAAATTAAAAAAAAAAAAAAAAAATTTTAATGAATACATCTGTTGGATGCCAATAAAACTTATCTTTCCAAAGTTTTATTGGGTAAAATAGGGTTCACCGTTAGACTAAGTAATAATTCAAATTCTCAAAAATAATTCAAAATAAAAATTCCATTGATGAGTAGAGTGTTAAAATTTTGGAATTTGAAATCTTTTGAAGATTCGGAGCATTTGAGAATTCGAATGTCCCACCTTTAGGGGAGAGAATTAACTAATAATCGAAGTCGCATCTAACGAATTAATTCAATCATTTAACACTAGATTTGATCTCAATACATGTGTGAAAATTTAGATTATTAATTTTTGCGTAAAACTCTGGAAAAGTTCACAGATTGTTTTAAAATAATTTTACCTTTCAGAAGAGAAATTTCTTCGCAGCTCGAGCTGTCCTGAATCGTTTTTATTTTCCAGTGTTTTTATTCTTTTCAAAAGACTGCATATGAGTTAAACATAAGGAAAAAACGCTTGGTCTATTTTTCAAAACTAGTGCATTATCATTCTCTCAAATGAATTTTGTTTTAGTATTATTGTAATCGTAAAGAAAATTTCGCTAAAACCAGTTGTAGAGTCATTAGGTTTTTTTTTTTTTTTTTTTTTTTTTTTTTTTTTTTGAAGCAGGAGACATGGAAAATTAGCAATGCCCTCGCCGGGATTCAAACCTGGACCTCTCGAATACGCGCCGAGTGTGCTACCATTACACTACGAAAGCATGCTGGAAGGACGGAGAAAATACCTTATATACCCCTTCTTTTAAAGGGCGACTGAGGATTAGAGGACGCACTTGCCAAATCCTGGTGGTGACGAATTATCGTCCACATCTTTTAGTTCAAGCCCCACTATAGAATACATTAGGATTTTTTGGTGCTGCAGACGTGAAAAATATGCGGTGCCCTCGCCGGGACTCGAACGTGGAGCTCTCGAATATGCATCGAGTGTGCTACCGTTACATCACGAAGGCATGCTGGAAGGAGGGAGAAAATACCCTACATAGTCAACAATTATAAACAGAAAAAAAAAAAAAAAATTGTAATAAAGGGAAAATGGACAGCTTTCTATAAGGAGGAAATGATAAGTTGTACCCTACAATAGTTTAAAATTGTATATCGTAAGAACATGATTTCATAAATGTAGAGCAGAAGAAAGAATTATTTGCATTTAAATTACAATTTTAATTACATAGAAATGCGAAGTTCTTATTAATTTACTTGAATTTTCTTTTTCTTATCTAAAGCCTGTTTCACTACTTAAAAAATTTAAGCATGGAACTGCAGTTCTTGATTATAACAGTGGTTCCTACTGTCAGGAAATTTAGCCATGCTTGATCTATGGGAAAAAATGCCTTCATGGATGATTTTCTGAGGATTATATTTAAGCTATACTTGAAGGAATTTGAGAAATATTCATGCAGTTAGCCTTCACAATTACTAGTCTTGTCCGAAAAAGAGAAGCATGAGTTACAGTCTCTAAAATATGCACAGCATTTTTGTAAGATTAAAGCTATTTTTTGAGGTTGTAGTTTGTTACATTTTAAAAGATAACCGAAGGCTTAATGCAAAATTTATCTTTAACATATTAATGACAATAGAAAGAAGAAAAACCTCTTTTTGAAAGATTTTCTCGAAATGACTTACAAATTTCTCTAAAATGAATGCCACTTTAATGTCTAATTTTAAAGCTTATGTATCCCTTATATTTGAAAATTTATCTGGAAATAGTTGCCTAGGATTTTTTAAAGATATGCAACTTTTTTAGAATGTTAAATATAGATATCTAACATAAATACGAATAATAAATTTTGTGTGCGTTTTTGTTGTTTTATTGAATACAGAACTATAGAAATAAAAAATAAATAAAACTAAAACTAAATATGCCATTATCTAGAATAAAGGTGCTAGTAAAAGATATAATTTTATGAAATTTATTTCATACAATTCATACCTTAAGCAACACTAAACTGAAACAAGAAAAAGAATTACTTTGCAAGTTAATAGTTAATACTCAAAGTTATAGCACGGGTATTTTTATGGATAGAAACATCTAGCTTTTAAACTTTCACAAAGCAATAAAGATGTCATATGAAGATAAAATATTTATTGACATAACTTAGCATTGCACATATTTTTACAAAACAATTAACATAAAAACTTTAAAAAAAAAGCATACAAAATAAATAATATTACGTCTACTCCATACAACAGACAAAGCAAATAATACAAAGCTAAATGATTGAGGATGATATTAAAAAAAACTGCAATTCTAATCTTAATGTTCAACCAGATAAACACTCATATTTATAAATATTTTAACACCTTTACTGATTGTCTTACACATAACAAATTGCTGTCACACATATGTTGCATAAAAAATGGGTACAATGAAGCTGAACATGAAAACCTAGCATTATAAAGAATAAAATAATTTTGATAACTTATAAAAAGGAAACCGGCCTTATTAATATTTTTGCAAATATGAGACCTGAAACATTTGATGAATAAAAAGTATTCCAGTCTATAAAAGTATATTTTTTCTGACCCAGTGCAGGTCCAATTATTCAACATAGAAAGAACTGATTGGTGGTCACATAGCCAGAAATATCAGATGACATAGAACTAAACCAAATATTGTTGATAAAAATATGTCATTAAAATGTAAGAAACTTGATGAGTTTTGTAATTTTATTACAAGTTTTATTACAAGTCATGCACACTGAATCACACTGTCATGCCCATTACACACTGAAATCATTGAGTAATTTTATGCAGTAAAATTACTTCATTGAAAAATAAATACAACTCCATCATGATGCACAATATATAGTATAAACCATAGACAACAGAAAAGCGATATATTGTGAAATGGAGAAGATAACATATTTGATGGGAACGCTTGGTCACATTAGTTAGATATTTGTTTGTAATGTTCAGCTAATTAAGTTTCAAAAATTTAGTTAATGTGTTTGTTTTGAACAAATGCATCAATTCATACTTTTTAATTAGTCAGTTTAATGCTTCATGCTTTTATTGATGTACTACAACCACTTGATAATTTTTTAATTCAACAAAGGGTAAAAAAATACCATTATGTTAAAAGTGAAAAACCTCATTATGTTTAAACACAAATGGTTCGTGCATTTGTGTTATAATGTTTAACATTTTTATCATGTGACCAATGATGTAAAAACTGTGAGTGCAACTGATATAGGTGCATTGATATGATCTTGGCTATGAGACATGAATACTGCTTTTCGCCGAACTGTTAGTCAGTTGCTAGCAATAAGGATTACATATCTTGAGCAAAACACCCAGTCCAGCAATAAAAGGAAGAATAATAATTATACCAGCAACAACAGTAGTAATAAATTCTAATGTGAATCAAATTTTCACTGCATGTTAGATAATTCAGACTCTTCTGTAATTAAAATCAAATACATATAATTTTTCAAACACTATATAAATAGCAATATTTCATTTCAGACGAACACATACACAAATACCAGTTAAAAAACGTTTCAATATTTAATTACAAAATTTTCATTTTTTTGAAAATAAAAATGTTTAAGATAAAAATAGGAACAAACAAAAGATTCATATTGACACTACTTTTTCTATATTTATCCACACTATAATTAACAATAAAGCAATTTTTCATTTGTATACTTTTCATAAATTAAAATAAAATATAAATAAATGATTGCACAAAATAAAGATCTGATATAATTAATGAAATCAAATAAAAACATTTGAAATACTCAAAAACAGTTATATATTTTGCAAAATTTGGCATGATTTCATAAACTCTATTCAAACATTTTCAACAATTTATGACTGACAGACACAAATGACTTCAATCAATATTTATTATTTAATTTATTCCATACATAAAAACTATAAAATGAATACAAATAAATTCATGATTTAAAAAAGTGACTAGTTACACAAACAACATTTTGCAATGGTTCTGACTCAGCTTTAAAAATTAAAATTGGTAGAAAATGTATTTTTAAAAATGTTCATAAGTTTTGTGAAATATACAGACAATTAGCTACATATACTTTTAAATTACAATGAACTGCAGTTATTTCATTTTGATTAAAAGTATCATCAAATATTTTAATTAAAAATACAAATTCTACCTAAATAATTCTAAAAAAGAATGCCCTATAGCATTACAACTGTACAAGACAGTTAAGAATGATTCCTTTAATTTCAAATGACATTTTTTAAACATGTGACTTATGTTAAAGTTTATAAACAAAGTTTAATTAGCGATGTATAAAACAAAAGAGAAACTATTCATGATTTGCCTCACTTAATAAGTACTCTATGTAAGCTCTCACAGTTACACAAGCAGGGTTGAAGCAAATTCATATTCATCCCATTAATCGTTCTCGCAGGTCATTTATCACAGACACCTCAGCTGATTTTCAGCTCATTCCAATGTTTTCCCAAAATGATCAACTATATTAGCCTTTTTCTTACAAAGCTCAAAAGTCTTGCTAATGCCATATGTCTATGACAGAGGACATGTTAGATTAATTACAAGATGAGTTTTAATGCTGCTTTTATGCTTAGCGTGTAACTATGGAGCATCACATTCCATCACATCCACAAATGTGTACAGTTTCTTGTTCTCTCTTTTTGCAAGGTATAACTAATTACACTTTGTTTGAAAATTTTAATAATAAAGCCACTTGAAATTTGATGAATCATTCTGAATTACCCTGCATTTTGTCGCAGATGACAAACATTTAAATCATAAAAATATTCAGAAAGCAAATAGCAATAAATTGTGATGCGGTACGAATTTAAGAATAAATGAGAATAACTGAGACATGATTTATACAAATGACAGACCTAGTTTTATAGATATAGTCAATTATTTAGTTATTATAATAGCTGACAGTGTATATAAAACTAGGTCTGATTCTGTGTTAGTCCATTACTAGTTATTTTAATACTTGAGGAAATCATGCAGATGCTTTAGGGGAAGTTGAATGCCTCCTTAAAGACTGAACATATTCAAACATAACAGCAGACATTGCTTGGTCAATTAAGTATTGTGGTATCCAACCCTGAAATGGAAATAAAAAAAAAAAAAAAAAAAAAAAAAAAAAATATTAAAACATCACCAATTTTATAGAACTGAAATCTATTACATATATGTGTACATAAGGTTAGAAAGTTTATAAAAGTTTTACTAGCTATGTTCTTAAGACAAAATAATAATTGCTGAAAATGTAAAACTTCAGCTATATTGACAAGAAACCTGTTTGATCGATGGATAGTTAATCCTGAGCATGACACTTTGATGCTAGATAAAGATTCACTGATCAAGAAGAATAGTTCATCATTTGCACAAAGCAGTTTAAAAGCAATAAAGTCTATGATAAAATTCCTACTCATCAGAAAATCAAATGTGCTGTATAGAATAAGATGCATTTGAAATTTTATAGACAAAACGCATTTGAAATGTAATAAATAAGATGCATTTGAAATGTAGAAATATTAATAACGAATACGATATAATTCTTTAGCTAAATTTGTTGGCAGTACTTCTGACTATAAGTAAAATTTGATACCTAGTTAACCGGTAATATCAAACCCAAGTAGCACACGACGACATTGCAAAGACGTTGCAAAACGGTCCGAGAGGTTGCAAAGTGGTCGTGGTAACTTTTACGACGTCTTTACAACGTTGCGAAGACGCAAAATATTTGCCGTTGCATCTTGGCAATTTGTCGACGTCGCTGAAACGTCATGATATGACCGCTTTCAGACGTGGTCATTTTATCATTTTTTTAAGTTCATCGGCATTACTTTTAGAATGAAAAGAGACTAAATCTGCCCTTTCAAGAATCTGAAGTCCGCATAAGATTTATTTTGCAATGTTTCATTACTTTATTTCATCTAAATATATTAATCTAAGGTAGATTCATCTAATGAAATATAAATTTAATATAAATATTTTTGATTTATTAAATTTAATTAGTACTAAAAATACGAGCTAATACGGCAAATTATTTAAAAATGAAATTAATCTATAAAGTACGTTATTAAGTTATGCATTTTCTATATTTTAAAAAATCACATTCCGAAATCAATGCAAATCACATGTTAGCAATTATTTCACTACTGAAATATGACTTTATTTATTATTTTTGAAGTAAGGACGAATTTATTTCAATTAATATGGTGACATTATATGAAACATTTTACCTCATACAGTGCAAAAAGTACAATTTTGTGCATTCACGGATTAAAATAGGGCGCTATTTTAAGAATTCTGAGAAAACGTCCAATATTAAAAGACGATGCTGTCCAATACATATGACGGAAAACTCATCGACAGTCAGGAGAAGCAGACCTGTACATTATTTACTGGATGCTTATATAAAGGAACATCTCAAAATTTGTGCGTTTTGGCTAACTGCCAAATTCGAACAACTGTACAATTAATTCAGATTCTAGCAGTTCTTTCAAGTAATGTGGTAAAAATGCCATCTGTAAGGCGTTTGAAAATAGCGTTTGAAAAGACTGACATTATGTTTGAAATTGAATCAAGAAATGATTGATATAAATAATACTGCTTATATTAAAAGTAAATGTAATGCACTGTCAATCAAAGAACGCATTGTGAATCTTCTCATTGCTCTGTATCTACTTACTTCAACTGGCTTCAGTGAGTGAAAATCCATTGTTGTGAGCTCCTGTTTGGAAGACTCTGAATTGAGGAGAAATCATGGTGAATAATGCTGAATTTGTGCTTATTTTCTTTGTGAGTATCTGCTCTACAAGAAATGCTACAATGATAATGGTGAATCTAGTGTTCGTGAAATAGTGTCTCTGTGGTCTATAGTGGTGTGTGGAAAATAGCGTTTGTGAAATAGCGTCTCTGTGGAAATAGTGTCAGTCTCCAATCACTGTGGTTCTAGCGGTGAATATTTGGATACCCTCATTAGCTTTGTGCTTCGGTTATAACGTTCTAAGTGCTATATCGTATATCATTCATATTAATCGATTATTGTGGTCATATTGAAAGATTGATTCTCAGAATTAATTTATATAAAACCAAAAATAACATACAACAGCAAGGCACTTTCTGGTTTTTCTGAAAATGCAATCAATACAGAAGCAACAACAATTCAAACTGTTATGGTATCAGTTAGCTAGAGCTAGACAGGAGCAAGGAGGGGCATTTGTCCCCGGGCGCAGAATCCAAGGGGCGCCAAACTGATGTTACGACATTTTAGAATTAAATGTTTTCCATCCTTGGCAAGCAGTAGGGGGCGCGAAATCTTCAGTTGTTTCTGGGCGCTGAAAACCCTAGCTACGACTCTGTACGGTATGCTCATTATTTTCAGAATACAAAGAAATTATTGGACTGGTACCAGTACTTAATATGACTGCTGAAGATGAATTAGATATATGTATAATATAAGCAATTAATTAATTATTAAAATTAATAATAATGCACATTCTACAGTATATTGTCTTTTGTACAGCATGCAGAAAGGGTTAAAGAGTTTAAACGGTGTATGAAATGTATGATCGAAAAACTAGTGTTAAGGAAACATTAGTACTTCTATGAAATATTGTAATCTATAATTATGTGATATTTAATTGTGTAATATTAAAAAACACTAAATATTTTTTATTGATTGCAAATTGCAATTTTATTACTTTTGTTTGGTATCTATTCTTTCAAACACTGTGTAATTCGCGTTGTTTTAAATATTGCTGTTATGTATGTTTATTAGATTATCTCAATAAATGAATGTTGGAAATTAGGTTTTATTTTTTATTAAATTTAAGTATATTCTATTTTCTTCGCTTACTTTTTATGTGCTTGTGATAACAAAGAAATTCATAATAAATAGAAACAAAAAGTTTCATCGTGTGCTATTTAACGAAGAGCTTACTTTAACGTACTTAGCTTACTATCGTATACTATATTATTTCAATTATTTCTGTAAAGTAACAAAAGGAAATTTATCGGTCATAAAAAGTGCATGAAGTAATCATTGTAATCTACCACTATTCTAAAATGTAGAAACTAAAAATAAGTAAATACATTAACATATGATCGAAAGAAATGGTGTTAAGAAACATCAGCATTACTAGTAAATACTGCAATCCATAATTATTGCACTTTTAATTGCTTACTATTTAAAAAACACAAATATTTTTTCATTAATTGGAAATTTTAGTTCTGTTACCTTCCTTCTGCTATTTATACTTTCAACACTACTAGTTCATGTTTTTTTCTTAAATTGTGCTGTCATATGTTTGTTTGTTAGGTTTATATCATTTTAGATATGATATGGGAAGTTATTAGATTTAGGTTACGAAATAATTTTGATCACATTTATTAACTACTTTATACTGTCTTTCATTTGCATATTTTGGAGATATAGAAGTTAATGGTTATTTTTTTACTGTGAAACGCGAATAAATTTATACTTGAGTTCAGATAAAATACTGATTATGTTACCTTAAGAACCGCTTCCTAATTTATCATACAGGGGCAATTTTCAATGTCTCTGAGATTTAACAGAAATAAATGCGATAATGCAGTTATCAAAAACGCTCTTTTTTTTTTACCCACATATATATCTTTACTTTTATTTATGTCTAATTGAGTTTTACTTACTTAAAACATACTATTAATGTCATATATTTATAATAACTACTTTCATAATTACTCTCACTTAAGGGAAAAAATGATGAAATTTTAAATAATCGTAACTTAGAATATAAGTTATTGAAAAAATATAGTTTAAACTACTGAAACTAATTAAGGCTATTATTAATTATGCTTATTTAGTCTAAAGAGAAATTTAAAAACTATAGTTTAAAGTACTGAAAATAATTAAGGCTATTATTAATTATGCGTATTTAGTCTAAAGAGAAAAAATTGTATTATCTTCTGGTTTTCAGGAAATGATAAAATATGTAACTTTAGAAAAATACAAGGAATACACAATTTTAAAAAAGAAGATATATTAATTATTAAGCTTATTTTTCTGCATAAATCAATATGTAACACAAAGGACATAATAACGGCATTTTCACAACTGTTGCCAAAAGGTGGAATTTTGCGAACATTTAGGGCGTCGTTAAGACGTCGTGATACGATGATTTCACAACCAAAATATCACCTACGAAAGACGCAATAACGACGTCTATGCGACAAAAACCTCATCTGCAAAGTCCTAATAAAGACGTCTTTGTAACGGTTGCAAAACAGTGGAGTTTCGCGAACATCTGGGCGTCTTAAAGACGACACATTGCAACGTTTTTGCGACGACATCCGCGACGAGTTTGCAACATCGTTTCGACATTACTGTGCTACTTGGGAAATAACGACAACTTTGAAGATATAAATTTAAATCCAAAATTTAGGCATTTAAAGTTAAAAAAAAATTGTAACGGGCTAACTATCTGAATGTTTTGTGTTATGTTTTTAGCATCCAACCTAAAATGCCTCATCCAAGCAATGAATCAAGGAATAACCTATAATACAAAGAAGATGAATTGCCGATCCCTATTTATGCGCCGATGTGTGAACTTTGAAGGTAGTGTCCATAATTTTCAGAAACAATTAACACTGAAAGACTCCATATTCACTTTGTATCTTGTTTGGAAAAGATGTTAAGAATATTAATTTACGTCACTACTGGCGTAAATTGAGGCATATGATCATGTTAGTAGATAGTAATTCGAGTAAAGAAAATTCGAAAATTGGTTTTTAAAACACATCCAGCGTCCGTGGCCGACATCATGAATTTAGTTGCATGTTCGAAGATTCGAAGAATGATATTAGTGAAGCGGAAGCACAAACTTGACAATTTTGTTCCCGTAACCCTTACACTTTCTCAAGATGTTGATACTCTCAATTTTAAGGTAGTTATTTCTATAATAATTTTCTATTTGCTGACTGTCTGGTGTTAGGTTCATGAACCACTGGTTCTCTTGAAACATAATGAATAATAGGAGAGGACGTAGCAAACAAATAAACAAAACAGAAAAATAACAATCATAAGAAATAAAAAGTAAATAAAAAAGATGTAAATATATAAAGGTGATGGGAAAGAATCCAAATACGGTATTCTATAGCACTCATACTTTATAGGTATGTAATAGTCATTCAGTTAAACAGTCTCTTTGAGATAAGGCCGGAGCTAAACTTTCTGCTGCTTGGGGCGGTCTTAGTTTGGGAGGAAATAAAAGATGACAGAAATATAAATCAAAGAATTAAAAATCAAATTTTTGAATAATGCTCAATAGGAAGAAATGAAAGTAATAAACATTTAGCCTAACATTTATTTAAAAATTCACAGTGGCATTCCGTAAAATGTTCTTCATAGCTAATAAAAAGTATTGTTGTTTGGGAATCTAACATAACTTATGTCTAACAGATAAATAGCTGCGAGTTATATGTCTCAGGTATTGTTACTAATAGAGGTAATGACTCACTAGAAAAGCTGAAAACTACACGAGATATTCTTATTCTAACTCGTTTAATAATGCAGATTATGACTATTTAATTCAATGGTAAGAAAGAAAGATATTAAGCACATTAATTTAAAAGTTTTTCAAGAAATAAATTTACCTTACCTTTAAATTAGTATTTAGAAGCCACTGCAATTTACATTTTTGACCGTTTTCATTAGCTGGAGTTAGTACATATGCACAAGGTCCTTGTTCTCCCCTAAAGCACAATAATTAATTTCACAATATTGTAAAAATTAAATTATTTCTGAGCAACAGCTTAGTATACATATATATTTTTTACGAACATTTAAACATTTTGAAATTAATAACAGAGAGAGGAACTGCATCAAAAAACTTCAAAAGCCAAAATATATCTGATGACCAAGCATTATATTCAAAGCTAACATTTCTTTTAATAAATTTAATCGTTAAAACAAAATTTTTACCTCATAAAGTACAGTTTTAAGAGCAACCAAAGTTATTCGTTCTAATTTCAGCAAATTTTAATACTGATATGCTGACAATATTATATTTAAAGTTTATCTGGGAGTATTTTGCATTATCTGATTTCAAAAAAGCAAACTAAGAACCTTTGCCTATGGAGAAGTATGATTTCTACCAGATACTAGCCCATCTTAAAAATCCACGAAAAAATTACGAATTCAGCTTATCGCATTGTCAGGAATAGAACCCAGCTGACTAAAAGGTATATAAAATGGCTGGCAGAAATCATACAACTTAGAAACACTAAAAGTTTATTTGTGTAATTTTAGCTTTGTCGGGATTATTTTAATTTTCTAATAGTTATTTTAAAATTTGAAATCCTTGCCTTTAAATTCTTGTTTCCCACCTACAACTCCCTGCCAGAATGAGTTTTCGGTATCGCGTTTTATGTAAATGAGGTAGAACCAGTATTTAATGGGACGTTCAGTCACTTCCGTAGTAGAGGTCAGAAGTTCTCAGTACAGCGTGTTCTGCCTTCGGGCCATATCGTTGCTTTACACGGTAAAAAAAAAGTTCGCTCTTTACAGGCAAAAGTTTTGTAAAGTTACAGAAATCAAAAAGTTACACAAGAATTTCCTGTAATGGTAACAGGTTGAAAGCAAACTGTAGCGGTAACAGCTGATTTGCTTTTAGCATTACAGATAATGTTTCAGAAGCCGCGCGGAATAATCACGTGACTGACTGGAAATTAGCCAATCAGGTGTATATTTGGTGTATTTTTAATTATGGCAAAGCACACTAGGCTATCTGCCTAAGAGGAGGGATGCCTTCGTTGGAGGGCTTTCTAAGCGAAACTGGCTCGTATACACGTTACACATGGGGAAAACCCACGAAAACGCCCATGCAGCCAGCCCGTTCGCGGGATTTGAACCTCGAACCGAACTACCAGTTAGCCAATCAGGAGAAAAGTGTTTGAAAGCTAGTTGCAGAAAAAAACATGGCAGAATGCATGTTGGTTGTATAGCGCAAGTAAGTAAGAAAACGTTTACAATTACTGTTTGAAATATTTTTTGTTCATTTTATGCAGATTATTCTCATGCACTTTGCACTGTTATATGTAGTGCGTAAGTATTTAAACGTTTAAGCTTTGCGATTAATTAAGATCAGTGTTCGTAATGTCTAATGAGTTGAAAGAGTGCAAAATATTTATTCCAAATGCAGATCTAATAGTAGTATTTTGTCATTGTGCATCCGATAAATTACGCCTTAAATTGCCCGTATTATTATTTAAAACTAATTATTCCAAAATTTAATCACTGTTTGTGTATAATGTGGTTGTTGAAAACAAAACTAATCATGTTAGCGTTCTTTTCCAATCGTCTGACCAAAGAACGTTTGACATCTTTTTTCCGGCAGGCCTTGCGAGAAACGTTTATATAAACATTTAGAATTCTGAATGTAATGTATATATTTTTTGCTTACTAGGTTTAGTTTATTCTTTTTCTAGGATTACCTAATTAGTTATACCTGGTTTATAATTCAGTCTAATATGTTTATGTACGAGTGTGTTATGAAGTAAAATTACAAAAACTTGAACAACGCGGTCGAGAATCTCGTTTATTCCTTTAGTGTAATAATATTTTTTTCAGTGGTATTAATTTCTTACGAAAATATTATAATTCCAAAATGAAGTAATTATATTGATTAAAAATATGCCGTATCATACTTTTCGTAATGTTTTGTTTTACTAACTAGATGCAACTTAATTATTCCATATATTTTAATATACCAATATCAACAGGGGAAAAATGGAAATGACCTAAAATATTTTTCTAACAATTCGTTAAACTAATTATAAAAACAAAACTAAAATTTTGTGCATTATTTCCAAAAATATCATTTCATTAATATTTTATAAATGACAACATATATTATATTGTATATATAACTACCATTGCATACTTATAAGTTTTTAAACATTTAATGTAGAATTTATGTTGATTTTATTTTGCCCAGTTTTAATACAGTTTTGAAGTATGATAGTCTTGTTACTAGGATAGCATGAATCTGCTAATACAAGTTTAATACATTTCTTGACAAATGTTTCTCTTATTCATGTAATATAATATATAAATCATAAAATAAGTTTTCTTAAAAATAAATTATTATTGTTTATTGGAATTTAAAACAATTCTGTATCTGTATGTTGTATTAAAAATAAAATAATAATGAATTTTTAATGAAGCATTGATTTTAGCATTAACAATGTAAATATATATATATATACACACATGAATAAATGGAAATGCAAGCTACTTTTCCTTACAAAACCGCCCATGAATATATACTTCCCTTTAGGCTGATAGCCTTTGCATGCTTTGCCATATTCTATCAATCCAAATGATGCAAATATGCAGAAAAATATACCGGAAATAAAATTCAGTGCATTTGTAAACTACATTAGTTCTCTTATAGCTTGGCATTTAATTGCCCAATGATTTACTAGTCCAAACTAAGGCAGAATTCAGATATCGTTCAAATAAAAAGAAATTAATAAGGTCTGATTTTTAGACCTATATATGAAGATTTATTTTTTTAAATATTATTTTAAGTCAACCAAATTAATTTCAAATTTAAGTAAGTATTCATGCCACTTTCAGTAGCATTATTTTTGATATCTTAAATTAAATAACTGAATGCAATATTTCTTGTTAATAAAAGAAAAGCAATGTTATGAAAGACTAGCGAAGTGGATTTGCAAGTTCTAATTACGAAAGGTCCCATGCTTTAAGGGGTCATTTTTAAAAATACTTAATTAAAAAAAAAAAAAAAAATATTTAACGTAAAACTTCCAAACTTCACACATGTGGAATATTAATTCTATATATTTTATCTCATTCTTATTTTATTAATTAATTTCATAGCATTTTGTGTGACACTAGTAGTAATTATTAATTAAATTTTATGCAGTTTCTGATCTATGTTTTGATTTTGTTATTAATTACGTTAGTTTACATAAGATTTAAAATTATGTAAGGTACAAAAAACCTTCTGCATCTATTAATATATGCTGAAGTGAATGAAATTATGCCAGTGAAATTTTTTAAAATCAAAAACAAATTTCTGTGGAAAATTAAAGTTATAAATTCTAAATGCAAACAAAGGAGTGAATTTGAAAGTTATCAAATAAGCCAAAGTGTTGGTCATTTTTTCAGTTTTGCAGAAGAATTTTTATACTTTGCAGAATGGGAATATGATGTTTGGTTTTGTTAGTATTAATTATTACAACTGAATTATTGCAACTTACATTGCAACACGTAATTTAGCTTAAAATTTATTTGAACTTAATTTTCTAATTTATTTTGATCATGTATATTTCATGTGTCATAAGTCTTTGAAATGAACTTAATTCTCATCCTATTTATTTACACAATTTTTTTTAAAGAAGAAAAAGTCACATTTGTTTTGCTTAGTTGCACACGAAGATACATGTCTATATATATAGAGAGAGAAAGAGGAGTTATGTTTACTTGCAGACTTTTTTCCTCCTTTTATATTATAGTATGAAAATCAAGGGGGAAATTAAGCAATCAATTTAATTTTGAAGGATGTGATTACAATAAGATCATAACCAATCAAAAATATTCATGAATGAACTACTGGTAACTATCATAGTATTATTATTTAAAAGAAACCTACATTCCAATAAGAACGCTTAGTAACATAACCATTTAAGTTATCTGATAAAAGTAATTTTCATTCCTACTTCCCTATACCTTGAATTTCACTCTTAGTATTGCCCACTGCTACTCCCTAGACCTCAAAGCATTTAATGCATCTGGAACTGCAATTTGTGTCTTCTTCTACAGCATGCAAGTTATCACCGTTTAGTTTGTACTGCCACGAGCAATGATCTTCAGAATTACCGTATTGCGTTGCATATTCCACCCCACCCAGCTTTAGAACCAGATTCTGAAAATTAAAAAAATATTTACATAATTTTCCCCTTTTAATGCATTCAGAAAATGAATATCCCAAGATTTTAAAATGGATTTATCAACATAATGATTGTTTTCGTCATACTAACAAAGGCAAACTTTTGCACACTTAAGGCCCCGTTGAATCTTTCTCTTCTAACTGTTGAATATTATGTCAGCCTAATACAAAACAATGATCTATGATAGTGAAAGCAAATACCAACTGCCATTCACTGTGCAATTTTGCCATATCAGCTGAATGTTCACCCTAGCAAGCATCGGACCACAACCTTCTCTAATTATTTATGTATGATCTGAGGCCTAAGGATTTGCAAGAACAACAATGAGAATGACAGAAGTTCAAATTATAAAGAAAGAAGAAATGAGATAACTTATTAGATGTTGCAATTATGTGTATTCTTATTGAAATAGAGGTTTCTTTTAAATAAATAATATTGTGATAGTAGTAGTTTATCCATGATTACTTTTCATTTGTTATATTCCTACTGTGACTGTGTCCTTTGGAAATTAAATTATTCGTTTAATTTTTCCCTCTTAATTTTCGGAAGATAAAATTAGTAAAAATAAGTGGGAATATGGCATCAAGAGCATTAGATATCCCCATTTTCTTGAAGCTGTTCACTATTATTGTTTCATCAATGATAGGCCATGCACCCAAAATCCACTAGCAAATCAGTTAGTAAGATGAAAATGACCACTATGCGGACAAAACATTTAGGGTAACTTGTTTTGTGAGCGCCTTAAGGAAGACAAACATTACCTAAATCATTTAAAA